GCTAAACCATGACAGACTTTAATGGAAGCTTGATTAGAATCAGAAATTTACTGCAAATGGTAACTGGTTTACTTTTGGTACCTTCCTCCAACATGTGGTCCAAGTCTAACTTCTTCACCTACTCGTACAGCATGCTTTCACTACTCTTACCATCCCAGTACTGCATTCAGCTTCACTATGAAGAACAAGGTTGAGAGATGCCTTACTGGGTCAGACCAGTATCTTCCCTAAAGCAGTGGCTATTGGGGGACAGCACCCAGGCCTGCCTTTTTTATGAAGTCCATTCCTTTTGGAACACAACCACTGTTGGACTAACGGTATTAGAGGGTACCCCTCTGCATAGCTGGGGGACCTGGTGTTCATCAATTTGTCTAATCCCTTCATGAACCTGCCAGTACTGTCACAACCACAAGCTCCTGTGGCAACAAGTTCCAGTTCACTCCCCATTCTGTGAAGGTACTGTATTACATGTACCTCCTGTTTGCTTCATCACTGCCCCTCAGTTGTAGTATTGTAGGGTTTGGTAAACAGCCATTTCCATTCACCTTATCCACTCCCTTTGTGATTTTGTAAACCTTAAACATAAATCTGGGCAGGAAGAAGCTGAGGGGAAGTTAAGAGTGACATCCAAATAGATGTTTTCATACATGAGACATAATGCATCTCCTGGCACACAGTTAGATGCTGTTCAATGCACCCCAGGATGCGGTTTGCCCTCTCAGCTGCCAGGGCACACTCCTGACTCATATTGAGCCTGCTTGTTTTGAAAATCCAAATACATGACATCCACTGGATCTCGTTTCTCCACACACTTACTGACAATTTCACAGAACGCCAGCAGGTGAGTGCTGCAGGACTTGGCTGGACAGAAGGCACACTGCCTCCTTTCCAATAGGCTCTGCTTCATCCATGAGCTCACTGACCTTATTCATTACTACAGCCTCTACCCCTTTCCTAACGAAGTCACACCCACTCCTCTGCAGTTCCCAAGATGATCTGGGTGAGAGTTACAGTGGCACAGTGGGCCATCTGTAGTAAGAGGGTGCACTTCTTGGCCAGCAGTTCTCTTACTTCTCACCTGAGTTCTTTCAGAGCCTCCTCAGAGAGACCACTGCTCCAGGTGACCTCACATCTGACTCACCTGCCAGCTCTAACACTTCCTGCACATCACCCTCAGAATGATCCAGCTCATCTGACCAACCTGCTGCAAAGAATGCACTCTGTGTGGCAATCTCCCCTGCTTCAGCAGTAAGTTCTGACACACCAAAAACTCATTGAGCATTTCTGTCACAGCCCTATCAACTCAGAGATTACCTTTTTCATCCCAGCCAACAAACAGCCCCATACGTTTCCTAAGGTGGCCTTCTGCTTTTGATTTAAAGAACTTCCCACAATAACTCTGAGCATCCTTTGCAAAGCGCTCTCTAAACTCTTCTTTATTTAGCCCTCAACATCCTGTTCATACTTAACCTGCCATCATTTATGGGCTTTTCTGTTCTCCTCATTTGGAGAAACTTTCCTTTTTTCTTCAAATATTGACCTTTTCTCTGTAATAGCCTCCTGAACTTAACTAAGAAGCCATGCAGAGCTTTTATTGAATGGATAATGCAGTATCACAACCGCACATGATCCAGTGTGCTTACTGTACTGTGAAGTATTACGAAGAAAGCTACAAGTCCCCTTTCCTCTTCTGATAAACTTGCCCTGTTGTTATAAATCAACACATCATTTATTCTCAATAGATCGCTAATGAATTCCTCTCGCCTCTTAAACTGTCATACAAACTCTTTGCTGATGGTGAAGATTCATGAAAGCAGAAGAAACACATCTTGATTTTCAGATAACAATCTGAATTCACAGCAGCAGAAGCTTTATAAATCCAAATTTCATATTGAATGGACTTCCTTGTTTTCATTTAACAAAGGAAGGCAAAATAGAAGAACATTTGCAAAAAAACTCCAAATTTTCTGTGCAGTGACTTAATGGTGACAAATGTCCCACAGAATTCTAATATCTACCCCCCGTTATTCATGCAAATTAAGACCAGAATAGGGCTAAATCTGACATTTTGCACAACAAGTTTAGAATTATCCTACTGGATGAAACACTGGGAACAGGATTTTTGCTGTAAATGAACAGCAATCCTCATGCGGAAGTGAAAAAACTTTCTTATTCCATTTTTGAGAAAGTCTGATTTCTTCAGAGCGCTGTGTAAGATGCTAAATCATATGATGAAATAACAGTTAACATTCTTGGCTTACTTAAATTTCTGCTCCTAAAACTACATACATGTGTGAGCTATCTCATCAATATAAACAAAACTCTTCATGCTCAATGCTACTCTTGTGCAAAAATGTCTCAGCTTCTCACTGAGAGGCAGAATACACTAAATCTTTTCCTTTACAGTTATATCAGTTGACATCTACTGTGGAGGAAACCATCCTTCTTTTGACTTACATGCTGAGGAACAACATGGTACACAAAACACCTATACAGAAACCTGCATAGGCTGCAGGTTTATCTTCAAATACTCAACCACCCTACACTAAAAAAAAAAACCAAACCGCTTTTAACAGACAAAGTTAAACAATGTAATAATGGAAGCAATTTGGTAAGAAATCATCGAGTATTAAAAAATTCATCAGTGAGCAGTGAACACACTGGCCTGAAAAGCATATTAGGCAAATGTTCATTTTTCCGGACAATAATGCGATGCATGCTTGCATTAATATTCAGCATCAACTGAAGTGACAAACTGACAATACCCTTTTGTCCTACATCTGAAAGCAATCAAACAGATCCAAGTCCTAGTTGACTAGTAAGTTTGCAGGTGTTAATATCAAAACAGACTAACCTTTAGCCCTTCTACTTCGCTTTCCAACTGTTTAGAGTACTGCTCACTCCTCTCTCGCAATTTCCTGTCTTTGGATGCCTCAGCAGCTGCAGCTTCAGCTTGGATTTCCAGCTACAAAAGTACATACATTTTTAATAGGTAGGATTCTTTTTTTTTTTTTTTTCCCCAAAATGTATCAACGGTTTTCAAAATAAGAGATAAATCTTCAACACTAAACTGGACACTTCAAATTCTTAGAAAACAAAATTGGTATTGTTTGAAACAACAATCAAAGACTTAAAGATTTACAGACAACAAAAAAAATTACTTTGTCAGAAAACCTTACATATAACTACTATTTCATAGATTCTAAACAGTCTTCTCACCACTTACTTCTTTTTTAAGTCTCTCTGTTCTGCGTAACTCTTGCCTTAAACTTTCTACTTTTTGCATCACCACTTCCATTTCTTCCTCCTTATCTCGGAGCTGGCGGGCAAGCTTTTGTTTTTGAGAGTGCAAGTCTGTCAGCCGCTCGTTCATCTCTGAGAACTCCTGCATTGCCAATTTCCGCTGGCTGTGTGCATCTTTCAGCTCTTTGGCTTGGGATTTTAATCTGTCACTAGACTCTGCCAGTTCCTACAGTTTAAAAAAAGAATTAAGTAATAAACCTAGAAAGCTGCAAGGCCAATTCTGTCTTTGGATGTGCATCTAACACTTTCTCCAGAGTGAATAGAAACTACATATTCATTTCTTTTCATGAATGCATCTACAATACAGGTTTGCCTCTATAAATAAAGAGGCCAGGTTTTACACTACTAAAGTCAGTAAAACTGCATAAATGTAAACCAAGTTGGAATTTACTCCATTATTATAGGTTCAACACAAAGGTTTTCAAGCACTTGCATTAAAATATAAAACCACCTTGCTTTCTTAATCAAAAATGTCATTAGCATAGTTTTTCAAGAACTACTTAAATAAATAAAAAAATAGTACTAATCTCAACTGCTAAATGATTAAAAGAAGTTTTTGCATTAACTGAATGGAAAACTCTGCTCTATGAAAATTTGTACTTCAGAAGCTTCTTTTCAGAAGCAATGACCTGCAATGGCGAGTATGATTTCCACACATTGTACCGTAATATCAAATATTACAGAAAGTTTCAGGCAACAAAACACTGTAGTGATTAACAGCAATATATGATAATTATTCTTTTAAAAGAACCCATGTGAAATAACACTGCTAGTGCTGTGGTAACTCTACAGCACAATACCTTCACAAAGCTTGCAGTGTCCTAGATCTGCGCTACTACGCTACAAATGAGGGACCACAACAGTTTAAAGGGTTTAATGATGTTCAGCTAAACTGGAGCAGAACAAAGAAGCAAGGAAAAGCAAGTCTGAGGATGAAAAGAAGAGCAGCAGGAAGAGTTAATGCTTGGCGCTGTTGACATCTACACAAATTCAAAAGCATCTTCTAAGTTTGTTAAAAAGAGCTCCTAATCACTACAAGTTGTTTTAGAAGAGAGATGGTCCTTCTCGGACAAACTGGCAGCTCTCAAGGTTTTAAGAGCCTTAAGGGTTAAAGGAATGTTAAATACAGCTGGCACATCATCATTCAGTGTGGACTCTAAAATACTGGGCCCATATAATTATGATGACAGGCTAATATATTTCACACCTGATTACATTTTCAAGTTGATTTAACCATGAATAGAAAAAAGAGCCATGAAAGACAGTATGTTATAAATAAGAAAACAAGGAATCGGGGAGGCAGAGAAGAAGAAATAAACCCCAGTATTCTTTAATGTAGTTATTTCAAATTACTTTTCAGTTTTCATATTTGGGCAATTTTTCACATCTCTCTTTTGGAAACACTCCTGTGACACAGCCTTAATACCATATTCTTAACATTTTTTCCCTGCTACAGTCTCACCCATACTTCAGATTAAATTAGTTGTCTGGAATAGTTCTTCTCTACTCAGTCTTCTAACCACTATCACTACCACCTCAATCTGAAGCTATAAAACCTTCTTTGCAGCTACCATGCAATTTGGATCATAAAGTTGTTCATTATTTGGAAGCAGTTACCTAGGACCACCCAGCAGTCATACATACAACATGTTAAATAATGTCCTTGTCTTCAAAAAAGGTAGAAAGCAAAGTAGGTCATGCTACACATTTGTTGTCTGCTCATTAATTTTACACTTGAAAGTTATTTCAAGCAAAATAAACAAAAATAAAATAGTCTTTAGGGTTTAGAAGAGTTGCTGACAAAATGCTTTTACCTTATTAAGATCTTCCCTCTCTTGCTTCAGCGTTCTGACCTGTTTCTCAAAAGCCTTTATTTGTCTAGAAGCATCATCCAACTCCCGCCTTGCAGTGCTGGCCTCCTCAAGTTGCTGTTCTAGCTGACCAGAATCTAGAAAAAGCAGCAGACTTCTAAATATGTTAAGGAAAAAAAATATTATTCTAGAATAGCATATCCTAGTTGCTTGAAGCCCCTTCAGTATTTGTTCTGGTTTCCATTTAATCACAAAATAAACCAATTCTTATCTGGTTTAGAATAGGGAGTAGGTTGTTTGAACTGCCGTTATCTGCTTTTAACACAACAGCTTGCAGTATAGAAAATGATAACAACTTGCCTTTTCACATTATAATAATCATGCCTATACATAGTTCTGTAATGTATGCTTTAACATGACCTATACATTTGACTTTTATGCACTGTGATGTAATACATAATGCATCTTTTATTACACCATAATTATAAACAGTCTCCCTCCTCCCTGCAAAGTCCCCCAGAAAGAAACAGTAAAAGTAAGGGGTCACTCGAGCTGGCAAGCATTCTCCTGTTGATACACTTAAAATTAACTTCAGATGATTTTACTTATTTCTAGTGTGAAAAACACTTGTGTTTATGTGATCTGCTTTATTACTACTATAAATACAGGAAAACTATTACAGCCAGTTTCTTACCAACTGTCAGTTACACAACGAAAGTACATTTCTAAGCCACAGCTAAATAATGTCATATCAATACACTCAAGTGCTACAACATGAAAAGTTGAAATCCATAAAATATGACAACTGAAAATTTCTATAGTTAGTGGGTGGGTTTTTTCCCCCTCCTTCACTTAAAAACACAAATTTAAAGCAAGATATATATGAAGGTAGGTTAATTCCAAGTTCTATGAAATCACTAGACATTTTGCCTTTGATTTCAGTTGTGGCAGGTCTTCAGACCATATGTATTTACCCACAGAACAGAAACCCATCTACATTCTTAGTAAGAGCCTTTTAATACATTTTCATAAATGCAACCCTAAGAGACTGACTCTTGGAGAAATCAAACATAAAAACACATACAGTTCTAAGAGCTGTAATTTCTGAAATGAAAGAATTTTACAAGCAAATGAATACCGTTAGCTTATACCCAGACAAATATTCACTATTGTTTTAATTCATTGACTCTTGTTTAAAAATTTAAAAGAATGCATTTATATAAGAGATGTAGCTCAAAGCCAGAAATTATTAACTGCCTCTCTTATGTAGTCTGCTCTGAAGTCACCAGCAAAAAGAAAGTTTATATATGGCTCTGCTGAGCCAAGATAAATCTCTCTTCCGTGCATGAACTACTTTGTTCCACAGCTCTGTTTTCTTCTTCCATCGCTGCCCTATACATATTTGGCAATATGAAAGATTCCTCAAAGTCTTCTCCTATGTAACTTAGCGAACAAAAATTATAACTTTGACCTCAAAAATTGAAAGCATATGCTAGCTTGTCATTTCCTGGAAAACTAGACAGACAAGAAAAATGTATTTTTCTAAGGTCCCCCTGGTGACACTCCTGAATTTGACACAATTTCGTGTTCATTTTTTATTACCTTTTTAAGCAGGTGTTTACTCTTACAGCTCCAGAAGAGGCAGTAAAACAGGTTAAAGAATATAACCAAAAGCTAGTTGTGACATATGTGTAGTCAACGGTGATTTTCCATCTAATCACCCTAGTTGTTGCTAACATTTTGGCTAATATATGCACTCACTGTAGGATGTTATTACATTTAATTGCCCAAGAGATGAGCCCTAAACATAAAGTTCAGCTCTGCACCTGAACTGAACCTTCTTTAAAGTTTATCAGATCTAGATTTGGAAATTTAGATATTTTAAAGGCCACCCAGAAAACTTGGAACTAGCTCCCCTAAATTTGGAAGCATTCAGACATGACCACCATTTGGTTTCTGCCTGTATTCTGTCATTAACTTAGTTCTAAAATCTATCTCACAAAAAACCCCCATAAAATCAAGCAAAATACAACATTCTCTTTTCCCAGTTTTATCAAAACAGCTTGTATTAGTTACAACTCAAGGCACAAATGACTGCCTTCTAACTAATGGTTGTATTAACTGGACCAGACAAGGCATTCAAGTATATACTGGGAAAGTTATGGGGTGACTGGGGATGGATTAGACAACTCTACATCTTCCTCATTTGATCACGTTATTCACTTCCAACCCAAAAAACAAAAGCACATATTGTATCTAGGAATAAATATACAGACACATATGTGGCGAGAATCAGAAAATTCTTAATGGATACTTAAGGGAAAACCTTCTCAATATTAACCAATTTCTTTTAAATGTGAAAAGGGGTATCCGTTGTGTCACGGAACATTCCCACACCCTTTTTTTTTTTTTTTCTCCCATTACCAAAGGAAGAGAGTAATACCTTCAGCAATCAAATAAAATCTAAGCTGCAGCTCAATAGTCAAGAATAAAATAAAATTTAAAGCCGATCCTGATGCTTTTCTATGAAGTGCTGGTCCTATTCAAAAGCTGTGCTTATAGATGTTGCTTTTCAGTGGTCCCAAAGAACCAAAACCAGAGCTGATGATTGCTGCAGAACAGAGATTTCTGATCATGTTGTCTTTTTCCTCATTACAGCATCAAGTGGAAGGACATTTGGATGGAGAGAAACTTCACATAGACCTTTGTTCTGACACAGCGCCATCATGGCATCACTCAAACCAGAGCCACCCTCCCTGAGCTACTTAAGCTATGTTCACATCCAAAAATAATGCTTATGGTACAACACAAAACCTCTGCATCATACCAGAGCAGCCGTCCAACTGTACAACAGACTTTTTTCAGACTACACAATTTTAGCAGCATATAATCTATATGCTGCAGTCTGCAGTTCATACATAGCATGCTTCTGCCCCATAACATGGCAGCAGAGTCTAAACACACCACCTAAAATGTCTGGAAGTTAAGTTCAAGTTATTCTTTCTGTGTTATTCCTGACACTCTCAGGCACTGAATGAAGTCTTTTCACAAATACAAACCAGAACAAATCTTTTTTGTAGTTTCCTCCAACCTTTCTTGCTGGGTTTTTTCCCTTGCCACAGGTAAGATAAGGACATATAATAGAGACCCATCTACTGCTACTTGTGTCTGATTTTTCTTTCACATAAAATGCAGACATTTTCCTATCTGGATTGACAAGAGGAATCAGATTTGTCCTCCCTGTTTCTATGGTTCTAGTCCTCATACCTAACAGTCTCTATCAATCTAGTTAATTTCCCTAAATAAAAAACTTCTTGCTGTACTTCCTTTCTTTTTCTTTGAAGATGCCTCCGCTCTCAAGATCCTATTTTTAAAAAAACATTATGGAGCAGGATAGCAGAAGTCCTATACTATGAATCACTATGACAGAAATTTCCCTTTAACTTAATTCAGAGCATCAAATAAAAAATAGTGAATATTAGTAATAGTAGCTAGACATTAAAGTAGGCTAAAAAGATACTAGCTAAACAGACAGCAAATTGGTTCACTAACAGCTATATTCAACATGGTGGTGCAATAGAAGCTCTCCCTCTGGAGGTTCTTAAAACATGAGTTGCCAGAATCTGCGAGAGTAAGGATGGAAAAAGATGGATTTGGAT